AATTATCGTTTATGTATATAATATATTAAAGGAATTTCCAAATAAAAAACAAATTCATTTGTATTTTTTAGCAAAAGCACTTGAAATTGTGTACCTTGTCAATAATAGATTCAGCTCTGATCCCGAATCCATTTCGCAGAAATGAAATACCAGTTAGTGACAAATTTTGCCGAATTCGGCCACTTAAAATCCGGTTTGGACTTTTTGTTCAATAACCCTAACAATGAGTGAACGAATGAAGATCAAGGGCCGTTGCATATAATAATAATAAAAAATTAAGTTAAACACAAAAAAACTCGTTTATTTCAATTATATATGTGCGTCATTGGCATTTTAAATGTAAATAAATAATTTTTTTACAAAAATGAATAACGTATTTTTAAATTAATCAGTTTGTACATGCTTATCAAACATAATAAAATTATTCAAACTATTTATATCTAATTAATTTAAATTAAAGCATATTCAAATTGTCTTTCCTTGCTAAACTGAAGAAATGGAACGTTTTAGTTTTCATTATAGAAAAAATTAATTAATTAATGTGATGTTAATGTTTAAAGCAATGCTATAATAATTAATATTCGATAACAATTTGATAATTTAATATTAATATTTGTAACTAATACCAGCTTTTGTTATAACATTGACAATTAATGTGAAATAGATAGTGACAAGAACGATAGTCTATCTTATTAATAATAACATAATAGTATTATGAAATTTTGCATTATATATATATATATATATATATATATTATATATATATATTGTTCGACATTTTGTTGCAAAGTTAAAATTTTTATTTGCACAAAAAATTTGTCAAAAATTTCCAATTGAAAACTCGAAAGACGTATTCTCTTCGTTTATTTTACACAAATTTATCTACTCGAATTAAAATTATCATTCGAAATAATAAATCATAATGACAGACTATGGAATAACGTAGTTCTTATTGATATATAATCTACAACATGATCTTCAATTTTAATAAGAATTACAAAAAAAACAAAAATCTGATCATAATACAAGAATTGTGTCAATTCATTTCGTTTAATCCTAGTCAATATCACATATATTCAGAAGGTCAGGTTTTCTTCGGGTATCCCACAGCAATTCTGCAAATGGCCTACGTTTAAAATATTCGGTATTTCCTTGTTTCTTCTATTTTGAAATGTTCATATTCATATCTATTTACTCTTAGTGTCAAAACAAACTTAAATATTTTATTTATATATCGTGTCTTTATCCGAATAAACTAGCCAAAAAACTTTGGGCGTCATGCTTGACGAAATCTATGAAATTTCTTGCGTGTTAAATACTATGACTCTGAACTGTTCTACGCAAATTGATGTTTATATTAAAATTAATTTGTTGAAAAACTGCTGAGATTTTATGAATCAAATTTTAAATATGAATTACTAAAATTGTATAATATTTAGAGGTTTTAAATATTTGCTAATTTATCAAGCTAAAACATGATAACCTGGTAATGCCCATACTTCCACCTATGCGAAATAAAACCATTTCTGGACATGTTACCTAGAAATTTAAAAAAATGGACCAAAATAAGATAAATTGAACCATTTCTGTTTGAAGTAATTGCAGTGCAAAATTTCAGTTTAAACACTCTATTATATTAAAAATAGTACTCTAAAGTGCAAGGAAGGCGAACGCACCTTTACGTCCTTCGCCTGGTTATTGTCAATGGTCTCACGCAACATATGCGTGCGCAACAGTGAATGTGTTAAAATTTTGTTTCATATAATGTAGAAATTTCTTATTTCTACATTATAATACGTTTTAATATTATATAGTTCGTTAGTTTACTTTTACAACATAAGAAATAAAGTACATATTGTAAAGCTAAATAATATGACAATTCGATTAATTTCTAATAAACAAAAAGTAACAGTTTATCTGAACATTTCTATTAGCTGAATATGTTAATTAAGAAGAAATGTATCACCATGTTTATTATATCGATTGAAATGCAAACAAAATCGAAATTAATGAGGAAAGAAAACTAGCTGTAAGTGGAATTCTGTCTTAAGGCAATTAAGGCATCGTGCCTTAAGGCAAATTGCTGGAACTTCCCGTACCAAAAATTATTATTTTTTTAAAAACAATTAACATTTTGAAAAAAAATTACTTTGAAAGAATAAGATTTTTGAGAAACTATAAATTGGACAAAAAATAACTTTTCTTTGAAAAAAAAAATTTTTTTTAAAAAAACATTTTTTTTTTTGAAAAAAATTTTTTTTTCTGTATTTGACATATTGTAGAAGATCTGAAATTTTTTTGAAAGCAATCGTACTGCTTTAACTGCATAGGGACAAAATATAAAGCGCGTAAGCGCCGCGTCGCTGTCTAACGCATAAGCATTGGTACGGAACCCATAGAAATGTTAACAAAATGTATACTTATTGTTAAAATCTCTATAAAATATCTGATAATTTGATGTGCATATGTCTAATGATCATTTTTGACCACCAAATGGCTCATTTTTTTACTTTTTCCTCCATATCTCCGAAACCGCTAGACCTACCTTCATGAAATCGATTCTTCACCTTGTCAATACAAGTGAAATGTTTTTTGAATTATTCAAATCGGACGCTCCGTTCTCTTAAAAACTGAGTTACCGTTTTCGGCACTTTTTGCCCCGTATCTTCGGAACGGCTAGACCTGCCTTCGCCAAAAACTAATCAGCACGTCTCCTTATCAATACGAATCGAATGTTTTTTGAATTATTCAAATCGTGATGATCCGTGTTCCCGAAATCGTCGACGAAATTTGTATCCGCACATACATACACACACGCACATACATACATACATACATACATACATACATACATACATACATACACACACACACACACACACACACATACATCCATTTTTTCTTAGGTATGCCAAAATGTTCAGAAACCTTTGAAACGTAAAGATATATAAAAATTTTCATTTTCGATTTTTTTGCGATTACTATAACTTGCCCTACGGGAAGTTAATAAAATTATTAGCCCCGTGTTCTTTATATATTTAATTATATCATTTGTCATGTATATTCTTTCCACCAGTTTTAAAATATAATTCACAAAATTAATAGTTTGATCTTTTTTTTAGCTGTAGGCAAACCATTTATAGTTTATAAAAAACCTTGACTTTTAAATCAGGAGTCTAGACAACTTGTTCTGAGGGCAATAAGATTGTGTATATGAATTAGTGAATTTTTTAGAGAAAACCGGTTCAACAAAGCATTCGCTTAATTAATTGGTAGTTCGTGCTAACTGTCTTTAAACACTATTCATCAACTTTTTTGATAATATACATATCTTTTTTATGGACGTACTAACTCTTTTCTATTTTTATTAAAAAAAAAAGATTGTTATAAATAAATACCATACAATATCAATAACAAGAATTAAATATTTTTTTCGAACTCAATGCCATATTCAAAAAGCAAACTAAATTGTTCGTATATAATTCGTGTAATTGTGTTTTTAATTTTTAATTAATTTATTCTAGTTTTTGAATTTTCCAAAGTATAAAAACTGAGCCATGAAACTTTTAGGTTCCTACATTTAATTTAATATTTACTAAATGACACAATACTTCATACTAAATAATATAATTATTTGTTTTATTAAGCATGTGGTATAAGAATCTCAATTACTCAATTAATATATCTTCAAAAGATATATTGTAGGAAAACTGTAACGTAGTTAAAAATGAGTTATTTATTTTAATATATAATTGGTTGTTTATGAGATGTGATGTAATTCTTTACCGTAGTGTTATTAGAAAGCAACCCAGCGGTTGACCATTGATGAGATTAATATTAAATGACGCCAAATGCTATTTTTGAAATATATTTATTTTAAATCTATAATTTTAAGTAAAAACCGATAACTTTACTGATTAATTTTCCTCAAACTGACAAAGAAACGAGACGAAACAACACCTGATCCTCATATGGTTGCAAGATTATGCTCTTATTACAAAGCCACGGGTAAGTTCAAGCTATTCTAATAACTCATTCAAATATTTAAATCATATTTCGACTATTTTAAATAATAATATTTTAGCATTAACATTTGTGTCAGTATTTGGTTATGAAATGAGTGTGAAAAATGTATTATTCATATGCGATATGTAAATCATGTCAATATAAATATGTATATACAGTATATATATACTGTATATATTTGTAGAGTTTCGAACAAGAATCAAAAAATAATACAAAATAAAAAACAAGAAAAGTTTTTAAAAAAACAATTTTTTATTTAATTATTTGTTTATTGTCGACGTTTCGGAACTAGGTACGTTCCATCTTCAGGACATCTGTCAAGAACATGATCTTGATGAGATTTTAGCAAACAATATGTTTAGGAAAAGAAAATAGATTTTTCTTAAATAATGAATTAATTGTAAAAAAAATATAATAATGTACAGAAATATGATAATATGTTCAAAATAAAAATGATACCCAGTAAACCACAGAAGTTAAATCTACGTAACTCATTTTGTAACTTTCGTTTCGAAACTGATGTTAAGTAAAAAAAACGATGCTGTTACGTATAGTTGTGATCTTTAACCACCGTCGACGCGTTTCTGTCGGTACGTGGCGCGGTACGTTGCATTGTCACATAGATTAGCCTTTGAAATAGCCGTGAAGTGTTTTATGAGCGAAACGTCAAATTAAATATAGGTTAACTCAGTTAGTGCATCGTGGACGCAGAATTGAGTATTTTATCGTGTATGTTTGAAATGCAAGATATTTCAATTATTGAAACGTTATTTATTAATTGCTTTTATATTTAGTGCGAAATCAGTTGTAGAAATTAGTTAAACAGTCAGCTGCAAAAGTATTTAATATGAAACCGGCAAATAAGGTGAGTCTAATTGTACTGAAACATATTTTAATTTATAAATTATTATAATAATGTTTAGTCATTTGCAGTATATAGGCCGTCTTCAATGCAAAGTCTGTTTATGTGTGTGTGATAATTGATTTATCATGCAATATTGAAATTTCTAACGCACCAGTCAGAAATATAACCTCAATTCAGTGATATATGAATAAAGAGAAGTAAGTTATATAGTTTTATACATATTCATTTTTTATAGTTCCATTAGTATCAGAACTATTTATCTAAGCACAAACTGATATAAGTTGGTTTTCAATTGTAGAGAAAATTACAGTGCTGATAACCCCTACGAAAATGGATTTCAAACTAGGGAAATTTGCTCCAATAGAGAAGATAAATACAAAGTTAGATAAAATATTAGAAATTATTAATCCTTTGTCACCAAAAAAACAAGCAAGGCTTCAAAACATGCAAGAAGAAAAATAAGAACACATATCAATAAATAAGAACATATATCGATTAAGTGTTGAAAAGAAAATGAATTGTTGAGTATTTCTTAAGTAATGATCTTGTATTACAGAATAGGTATATTAATGTTTTACACAAAGAGAACTTTAACTAATATGATTTAGTACTAATTTGTAATGTTTTACTTTTAGGAAAGTGATATATTTAATACGAAAACGCCAGAGGTGAGTATAATTGTGCGGATTTTTTTTTAAAATTTACAAATTATTATATTAACGATTAATTAGTTATTTTCAGTATATAGGTCGTGTTCAATGCAAATTCTGTTTATGTATTGTGATAATTGATTTATCACATATTTATTGAAATTTCTGACAGACCAGTCAAAAATCACATAACCTCAATTCAGTGATATGATATGAATCTTATAGGTAGATAAGTGTAATATATATGGTATTATACATATTCTTTATAATTCCATCAGAACTATTCAGTTAAGCAAAAACTGATATAAATTGCTTTTCAATTGTAGAGAAAGACTGCTCATAACCCTTATGGGTTATGTCAAAATGGATTTCAAACTAGGGAAATTTGCTCTAATCAAGAAGATAAATTGTCACCAAAGAAACAAGCAAGACTTAAAAGCATGCGAGAAGGAAAACAAAGAATACACCGGATATCACACATTATATGGATTAAGTGTTGAAGAGAACATGAATTGTTGAGTATTTCGAGTCTGATGATCTTGTGTTACAGAATTGGTATATTAAGGTTCTACATGAAGAGAATTTTAACTAATATGATTTAGTACTAATATGTAATGTTTTACTTTTAGAAAATTCACGTCTTAAAAATTAAGAGGATAAAATCAATGCAAGAAAATTTATTAAGTGTGTTCATCGAATAATAT